AGGAGAGACCAAAAGGGGGAAAAAAAAAAAAAAAAAAAAAAAAAAAAATCGCTCCTCACATGGCCAATACAGCAAAGAGACAGTTTATCATTAGCTGATAAACCCCTCTTAATACTAAACACATGCACTCAAAGGGAAAGTGAGTGAGCTACACTTAAAACAGAAGCTCTCTTGCACGTCAAACTCAGCATTTCCTCAAGTTCTTCCGCCACTGTTTTGCAAAGCAGTCAAACGAGTCAGCATGACTGGAGTCTCACGAGAAGCTGAACAGTGACACCTTCAGTTGGGTGTTGTCAAAAACAGGCTTGGAGGGCACAGTAAGGAACGTGCACTGACAAGACTACCAAGCTCTCACTCTGTAAATTCTCTGGCTGCTTCTGCACTGAGGGCTGCCTTTAGTCAGGAAACCCAGAAAGCTCTTTGAATGTTTCTTCTGATGCAAATCCAGACAGAACAAGGGAACACGGTTTGAATGAATTACCTTTTGCACTCTTAATGGTCCTTTGCAGAACATGTTGCATGGCTGACACAGTCTTTTCACATGCGACCTGCATTAACATAATATATTCAGGTTGTAAAATTTCAGCTGCCAAGTTTAATATTATTATTTCAAAAACACTGCTATTAAGAGGCAAACATGACTGACAAGATGCAAACAGGATGACAACTATGTAATGTAGAGTTTGGGAAAAAAAAATCTTAGACTCTCTTAATTCTCCTGAAACAGGTATTAGAAACCATACACCCATATTGAGGACTCCATGTGCTTAAGAGAAAGAAACAGAAAAATAGATCTGATAAATGATATTCAGTGATTATTATGAAGTGAGGGTAAAAAATATAACTACAAACATGCATGTAGTCTCCCTCTCTCAAGTGAGAACAACATCTTATTTGGCAAAATTACAAAATCCATGTAACTGAAATGCGACCGTCCAAAGTTGTACAAGCTAAAATGTTTTGGCAAAAGGGAAATTCTGCTTTCCTCTAAGGTGAGGAAAAAAAGCCAAAACAGAAGAGAGTCTTTAAATAATGTCATAGATTAAAAGTAATTTAAAAAAAAAAAGAAACATAGTCTAAACTTGCAGAGAGACGAATAACTTCTCCCACACCTTCAAATTGTTTGGATGCTTATGTGTCCATGCCAAAAGCATAGCAGCGAACAAGTCTCCTGTTCCAACAAAGACAGCATCCACTTTAGGAGACTCCACTCGAATTCTTTGTGTCATCTTGGTACCATCTGCTTTAGCTACAACACAGATAGACAATTAAGTAACAGACCCAGCAATTAATACAATAGCATTTACTATAATTTAAAAGTGATCACCAGATTTGAATTCCTTTGTTGTTTGGAACATAAAGATGCTAAGGAGTATTGTAAACTTTGTACCAGCTCTTAAAAGGTGCAACCTTTTAAAACTTTGCCAAGTTGGGATAGGATTTACAACTTTTATACCATACATACTTCACTTAAGAGGGAGCAGGTAACTAGCACCTTCATTTTCATGAAGGATTGAGAGCCACCTATTTTCATTTAGACAGCAGCAGCAGCTTGCTCAGGAAACCACGTTTATGGAGACTGCTGAATCCTAGATGGGGCATCCCAAACCATAATCTAGGATATCTCTGGGTTGTATGGATGCACAAGAGCAGCTGTAGACATCAGCAGAGAATATCTGATCCACGTGCCATATTGTTATCACCATTGGAATGACCAGACTTATTCCAGACCTGGCATGTACTGAGTGCTAAGACCCACCAACTGATTCTTAGTGGAATCTGTTTTAAATATCAAGACTTTTTCTGTCTCTCAGCAGTCCAGAATGTGATGCCCACATTTAGATCCCTTAGACGAACAAGAAAACGAGATCATATACCATCCCACCTAAATATGCCCTTCTCAGGTACAAACATCCTGCGACAGTCCAAACACACAGTGAATCTTGGTGACGGTATAGAAGGGGATATAAAGAAGAAGCAGAAGGACATTTTACAACCTATCGGGGAGGAACAATCTGCTAACAGCACAGTGTAACTTTTCATAAAAGCATTCAAAACGTTCAAAGTTCCCGTTTTATACCACTACTACTTGTCAGGGCCACTACTAGGGGCTTTAACAGCCCTGATCAACCTCACCTAGGACATTCTCCACCCATGCACACTCTGCCCACTTGCCCAGGAGCTGCATGGAAGCTCAGGCCTGGGCGCAAGCATCCTTGCCTGAGCCATGCTGTAGGTGTACCTGTGTACAGCCCTGCTGTCCTGACTTACTGATTGGATTTTCCAGATTAATCTCAGACCTGGCTTGTCTCACCTTTCTCTGATGATCACTGGACTGTCAATGGGACCTGTCCGCCATCACCATGCCTGTTCTGCTCACTTTATTCAGATACTGTTGGGCCTGTGCCCTGTTGGTGAGGGCAGTGCTCTGCTCTGCCTGTTGTGCCCTGTTGGTGAGGGCAGTGCTCTGCCTGTGCTATGATCACACTCAGCTCCCAGCTTGTCTTCCCTCATGGAGCAGCCCCATTCTTACCGCTCTCTCTGATATTACTGCAGGACTCAGCTCAGCTCCCAGCTTGTCTTCCCTCATGGAGCAGCCCCATTCTTACCGCTCTCTCTGGTATTACTGCAGGAGAAGAAGTTCACTTAGGGATCTAAGCTCCTTCCATGCACTACAGATGGGTCTGATGAAACTGCTTCTTAAAAAAGTAACTGAAAGCACGGAACAGGTTAAAAGAAAGCACAGTTTAACGAAGGAGTTCATGACTTACTTTTTCTGTGGCTTCCCAGAGCAATTAGGTAGTCGTTTCCTAGAGGCGCCTGTAGATCTGAGCTTGTGATCACCACAGTCTCTGGTCCCATGGCATGGAGCATATCCATTACCTTTCCATGTGCAAAAAGGCAGGAATCAGTGACTGCAATGTGTGTTGATTAAACCTTGCATCATTCATAGTACTGAGGACTTTTGACAAGCACCTTATTTTGTAAAGAGAAAAAACAGTTTCTACTCAAAGAATTCACTTTAATTAGGGGAATTCATTTGAAATAGGGGAATCAAAACATCCGTATTTAAACATACACACTTGTTAAAATATACAAGCATCTCTGTTTGTATTATCTTTGGATGCTCCTCTGAAAAGAATACTCTGTTTCAGCTGTGATCAGAATTTTTGTCTGCATCATGTTGTCAGAACATATTATCAAAAGAATAAGAGAACAAATATACAGACACATGCACCTGAGCTGGCATCTTGAAACACTTGCTAGAAAGCCAATAACTCCAGGTCATGAAGTCTTATTTAGCTACTACTTTAAGAGTTAGCAAAGATAAAGAATTAAAGAGCTAAATCAGAGGCACAAGTGTGTCTGTCTCAATCTTCTTTTCTCATTCTGTTTCAAACCCCAAATTACACCTGTAAATTATGTACCTTTGCAGGTGTATTTCCACTCTGTGTGTTCCTCACTTAAACTCATTAATACTCTACTTGTGACATCACAATTGGTTGCTACAGAAGTGATTTTGATTTTACAGAAGAATTACTTCAATAATGAGTTTAGCATAAAACACAGATAAAATATTAATTCTCCCAGAAGAGTTTAACTAAAAATTCTCTCAGGCTAGCTATGACTCATGAGCAGGTGAACGATAAGGATTTATTTCTGCTATTTTTTAATTCTCTATTGCTTTTCTTTCTTGTCTAAGCCTCCAAGTTTCTTCAACTGTCAGAACTCTTGCACAGGCATCGGTTGGGTTTTAAAAAAGCAGTAAATCCACCAGCATATGCTAACATAATCAACCTGTGAAGTAACATTAAACTCAATTTCATTTCTCAGTCACAATTCACCAAGAACCTAGTCACCAGTATTTCTAGTTGTAGGACTTAGTCCCTTCTACATTAATATTATGTCATATTTAGTTTTATGTTAGAAGGCTATACTGTCATCACCAGTCTTGCTAAAGAAATGAATGAAAGCATGTCACCATGGAAATTGATGTCAGAATTCCTACCACCTCCAAACGGGACAAATTCCAGCATGGATTATTACTCAGAAGGATAGACTTATATATGACATACAGCTGGGGAGATAGACAGATTAAAATATAATATCCTGCAAGCAACTATTTAAAAAAATGTTTCCATTCTTAAGTATAATTCCATCTCTTTAGAAGAGATATTTTAAAACCCATCACAAATAAAAGCTATCACATGAATCAAAGACTGTCAGAAAACTAACTTGTAAAATTGTTTAGCACATGCAACTCGTGTTTGCAGCTGAAATACGCAAACCTAAAACTAATGGCTGCTCAGCTAACAGTGTTGTTCTCAAGACTGTGGTTCCACTGGTGAGGATGAGAATAGAAGAACTGAGTTGTAGTTAGCAGCTAGTGGCATGAAGCACAGTTCATCACCCTCGCCCAGCACAGCTGGGTAATGTAAAACTGGGGCAGGGGGGAATTAAAAGAGCTGAGATCTTTGGAGCTGCTTCCTGCCGTGAGGAGATGGTAATCAACCCAAGTTGCGTGACATTGCTGGAGGAAGAAAACAACAAACATTTGGGCTGACAGACCCCAGCTACTCTCCAGGGTGCCATTGCAGCTGCTGTTTGTTTAAAGATTTTGTGTTCCTTTGAAGTTCAAAACCAAACTGGAAGAAATAACATCAGTCCATTATGAAAGCACTTGACTAGTCAACTAAACAAAGAGCTCAGCCCTTCTCAGGACAGCAATAAAATCATATTCCTATTTTGTCCTTCATCACTAAGCCCTGCAGCTTTTTATTTTCTTCAGTTTGTGTAAAAGGGTAAATCCTTACACCTCAGTGCAGTATATTTGCGGACCATCTATCATCTCTGTATGGCAATGACAGCAGCTATCAATGCTGTGGATTCGTCTGTCTTTCACCAGGAAGTACCCGAAGGCCATCACTCCTAGTCTGGTTTCTCATCTATGCAATCTATCCTTTTGCAACGCAGGTCTCGCCCCCTTTGAATCAATTTAAGGAAGAGAAACAGAGCACCAGCCAACACTGTCAGGAAGAGATTCAGAGTGTATTCAATCAATCCTTGTAAGAGCTTGCTAGCAAGCTCTCTTCCTTGCAAACAGTCTGTATGGGAGAATGAGAAACAGCTGTCCTCTAACACTCAGCATTGCTGTTGCACGACTCACATGTGGACAGCAGAGGGAGCGACTCACACAAGTTTCTCACGCCCAGGGTCACCCGGGGTTTTCACCCCAACCAGTGCATTTCCACAGCGCTGACAGCGTGTGGTTACTTGCCACGTGTGCTGCTGCTACGCTTCTTACACTGCAGGAAAACAAGCTCACAGAGATCTACTCGTTACCACTGTAATGCCTTTATCTGTAGTTCTTTCAGGAAGATTCTTCAGAAGTCTGACACTAGAACAGAAAGTGTTTTGTGCCTGGAGTGCGCAAGCTTTAATGATAAATGGAGAGAGGATTGAGGCCAAAGTGACTTCAAGGTTGAAGACAAATGGCAAACTGCAGCATTGCAGGCAGGAATACAGCAAGAGATCTTACACATCCTACCCCTTGCCTACTTACCTCTAAAGCTTCTTTTTCTGTGTGAATCTTCCTGCCCGTGAGTAACCTGAGAATGAAATAGAAATATTAAAAGAGCACAAGTTCTTCAAGCAATGACTGCTTTGTTTACTCTTTGAAAGGAGGAAAGCTTGGACCGCACCATACAGGCCTGAATGGCTTGTAGCTACATGGTCTGCTGTACCAGACCGCTGTCTTTAAAAGTTATGTGCACAGATACACAGTGCTTCCAAAGTGGACTCACACCAGTCCTAACCTGCCTCCTGTAGAGATCCCTGTATCATAAAATTCCATCACAAGTGTCTTCTCTCCATCTCCCATGTAGCTGCTCTCTCCCTATTGGGCGACGTCTTGTGTTGTTTCGCAACAGATAATCTCCTGGCCAAAGAAAGAGTCACAGCTATGTAGGCGGGATGTGGGGCCCCCAGCCTGTGATGTATCACAACAGATAATCTCCTGACCAAAGAAAGAGTCACAGCTATGTAGACAGGATGGGCAGGAGGCATTTAAATTCTTAACTCCTATGAGACATTGCCATGGCGGTATTTCTGAATCTAATTTTGGGGGTTTAAGTCAAACTATTTCAGTTTTGATATTCTGACATATAATAAAAATTTTCCTAGGAATGGGTAAGGATGGGGAAGGGAAGAGAGGTATTTTTTCAGCCTGCCCTAGATACAGGCCTCTGGAGACAACAAGAAGTAATCATGAAAATGAGAGACCGGAGAAAACAAAAGAAATCTTTTCCTCACATAACTCCCAAATTTTTTATCGGTTTTAATATGGAAGGTTAGAGGTTCGCTGAAAAGCACCACTTCAAAGTAACAGCTAAAAACCAAAACCCAACACATACATACATACGGCACTGTATTGAGACAAATAAAAGAATGGGTATCAGTCTCCCCTGCTTTTATCCACAAGTTTATTTGGCTATAAAAGGAACTAAGTACTTACTCAGCTTCAAACTGGTTAGGAGTAATTATATCAGCAACAGGTACAACTTTGTCCCTGTAGACTGGGAGGAGATCCTCGGGCACATACTAGGGGAGAAAAAACAGTATCAAATGTTGACAGCGGCATCTGAGACGTGGGACTGCAACTCTCCTTCCCTCAACTACCATTCGTGCTGTCACTGAGTAACCCGACAGCTCCCAGTGTACTGTTATGCAGCAGTAGCTAAAGCGGCAATGCATCCTCCAGCTGGTGACAGCACAACCAACAGCCCTTCTTTCACGGGAGGCGATGGGAAGCACTGCTAAGCAGACAGGCCTAAACTGGCTCATTAAAAGGAAGTGGTGCCTGGACAAAGAACTTTCGGGTTCCCTCTCACCAAGGTGACAGAGCAGCATGGAGAAATACAGTGTCCCAACATGGAGGACCCTTTCTCATGTCCTTACCTCCAAAAGAAACTACTTTGTTGTTGTACCAACAGTACAACCCTTTGCTGCGGCAGCATGTGCCCACATTAACTGCGTTGCATCATGGGGCTTAGGAACAAGTAACACCCAGGCTATGCGTTATTTTGCCTCCTTCTTTCAGTGCAGTACTTCTAGGGTGTGCTGTACATCAATATGTGTGAACGGGAATCAGATTTGTAATTTGTTCGGTACAACTTAATCTATAAAGCAGTTCCGATACGGACATTAAAAATATTTTGCTTGTGTTGCACCTAAGTCTAACAATGGGTATGCAAATAGTCAAATAGTCAAATCTATGCAGTCTAATGCTAGCATACTTCGCTGCCTGCAGAATCAGCTCTTCAAGTAATGAGAGCCAATATGCTCCCCTTCCCGCCTGTCTGTTCCATCTCTATCCCATCTTCATTATGGCCCATCAGCAAAGGGAGATTGGTTGTCTAAGCAGGTGACATACACTAAGACGTAACAGGAGCCCACCAGCCTGTACGCTCTTCAGACTCAAAGCTGAAAAGCATCAGCTGTTTTGGCACACTGGAGCTCAGCTAGGAGTTTGGGTCAGATGGGTACAGGGCTCACCTCTCCTTCCTGAGTCCTGCTGTAACTCAGTTTAACAAAACCTTTAATAAAAGTTCATTGTTTACTAGTAGCTGATATTCTTTGGCAGAACCCCATTTGCTAAATGAGGATTAATACCCCCTTTGCCTGTGTTTTATTTTCTCTGTTAGTCTCATAAGCTAGGCAGGGCAGGGTGCATTTATACGTGTGCCCATGTGTTACTGTCTCCCACTCCAATTGTATCAGCAACAGGTACAACCCCTCCACAGTGCTGACCCCTAGGTGCTATCAGAACACCCGTCATACTGATACTGAGCTCACTCATGTAGCCACGGTAAAGTGATGATGTCACAGGGACTCTGCCTTTAGACAGAAATGCAAAACTAGGTCACGTCTAAACCGAGGAGTTTTAAATAATGATTTTATTACTTTTTATGGCAGGAATGAGTTGGTGGGTTGTATGTTAAATCTTCTCCTCTTCTTCCACCCACCTTATCTTCCACCCAAAAGACATAGGTAGGCCCATGGTTATGACTTCTCCCAAGAGCTAAAGCTTTGCAAGGTGACTCTACAGCTGCTAGATCTCTGCCTTGTCAGAAAAAGCCAAGGACAATAAATATTGCAATAGACGTAAAATGAAAGAATAGAACACAAAAGCAATGGCAAATTTATTACTAAGTGCTACTTCATGTGATATTTTATGAGCAGATAAACTGTAAAAAGGTACAAGGACAAAGAGAAATTCATAGTGCATGACTAGTTAAGGCAGAAGAAAACACAAAATATCATTATTGCTGATGTCTTCCCACATTGCATTTTTACTGAAATTATTTGCTAGTTTTGATCAAAAAGGAATGTTTCTTTGTCGGTATGCAGTCTGGTATTGGCACACAGAACCTTTCTGTCACTGATCACAGCCCAATGCCTAACAGCTGTTGGTTTTCACACAAAATAAGTCATCTTCATTTAGGTTCAAGTGGTATGTCAATTCACACAATCACTGACAATGCCAGCCAGGCTACCAGCCAAAACAGAGCTCTTGACAGAAGCTGAGGGAACTTCAGTGAGACAAGGAAGGGGAGCAGGAGGATATCTTCCTGCGGACAGGGTCTGCATTCCACCTGTTGTCTCAGCAGAGAGTCAGAAATAATCCCAGGGCTATGCAGCCATCATTCTTCCCAGACACTAAACGCATTCAAATACAGGAAATTAAAGTACAAGTTTACTTGATGCTGGGATCCAAAGCCATGCTTAGGTAAAATAGCTTAGTTTTGGTGTTTAAAAATTAATGAATCTTTATACATCTTTATATAGCAAATATTCATTATACAGAGAATCCAAACAGCTAAGTACTAACCATAGAGCCTTCTCCATTCCATTTGTCACCCATCACTGGATCGCATACTGTAACAGAATAAATCTAGCTTTAGAAATGGGGTACAGTTGCAGAGACCCTGGTGGGAGGGAAAAGTTTTAGGTAACAGTAGTGGCTATGTAACAGCACTGAGCACCCGATAGCTTACACACTCTCACAGCTCTTGCAGCACACTCAACCTGAAATTTATAACTGGTGGCTGTCAATTCTGAAAGAGTAGGCCATGTGTCTTAAACAATTGTCAGAGGGTTGTAGTCACCCTCTTCTACCTGCTTCCATGTTGTTCTGTCTAAAGGTGATGAGGATGAGAGGGTCTGACTGCTGGGAGTAAAGGGGCTTTTGTTATGGAAAATGCAAAGAGCCTTCACTCCCTAACCCAAAACTCTGGGACAGTAGTATGGTGGGGAAGAAACATGGGAGAAGCTAATAGCTGTGAAGAGTGTCCTATTTTTACTTTAGCGTAAAAAGATACATGCCAAACGTACACACCAAAATGCTGTGTGTACACATTAAAAAAATGTGTATTTTAATGAAACAAGAAGAAAATCCATGCCAAAGCACATAAACTCATACTTGGTGTAATAATATTAACACACATTTAGCACAGGTTCTGAATCATCAGCAGTTTTAACAACATATTCCAAGTGCCCTCAGTTTCAAAGTGAGGATGGAAACAGCCTAGCCTTGTATTTTAAAAAGGAACATTGTTTATTGTATTAAAAGAGCTTTCAGCAAGATAAAAAAGAAATACAAATCCAAAGGTATCAAATCAATGTCCAATCAGTATTTAAGGAAGTTTCTATGAGTAAAAAGAAGGTAGTTTGTTTTACATTTTAGAAGTATTTTCCTTACATTATAATCTGTTTATTAAATGTAAAGGATGTTAGAATCCTAGCTGTGTTCTCACCATCTGACCACTTCCTTCCTGTTCTACACAGCTAGATGTTTCTTTCTGCTCATACTCCAACAGAGTTTTTAGCTTTCACTTACTAGTACAAGGCTCTGGAGAACCTGACAATGCAACAGCGTTAAAAATGGCTAAAAAGCAACAAAGCCCGAGCTCATGAAGGTTTCTCTGCTACATTTTTCTAAATGAGAACTGTGCTTTGTTAATTTTAAGTCAGATATCACACTCCGCAGTGTTACACCTTGCAAATCCTGCGACCCATTCCAAGCGTTTCCTGACCACACCGTTTATTGAACCTGAAGATGACAGGCTCAAACCATCATTCACAGTTTTTTATCCCACTAAATCCCCACTGACTTAGCCCTGTCACTCTAAACGTTTTGCTCAATTCAAGCCTACACTGGTTATGTTCAAAAGTCCCAAAACACTCAAGAGACTCAGAAAGGAAAGAGGAGAATCTTTTCTCACAGGTTTAAGCCTGACACGACACGTTAGTGACAGCAGTTGCTAGAGTCTGTTGCTCTTTGAGTGCTCCTAGGTAATCTTAGCAGAGGGCACCAGACTTAAAAAAGCCTTGGAGTTTAAGCTAAATCATGAAGCTTATAAGGCACGGTAAGAGACTTCTTCTGGGATGTAACGTGAAACCATGGCAGGGCAACATGGGAGAGTCTATCCTGCTTTTGAGTGACTTGGAAATCAAGGAGAGGCTTCAGCTATCGGCACTTACAACCTGTGCCTCTGAACTACAAACAGCAGCAGCTGGCTGAGATTTTACAAGTTTTTCTTGTAAGGCAATCAGTCCTCAAGGCACATTCTCCTTTGGACAGCATAATACAAGAAACATACTGAAAGGCATGAAATCAGACAGATGAAAAACCAACTCCCTCAACACTTAAGCAACGCTGAAACGAAACTTCCCTGTAGCCTCAGCTGGTCCCAGCCAGATCAGAGTACAAGATGGTTGTGAAATGCTGGGTAACATCAGAACAGCATTGTCATCCTAAAACGTGAAAATGATGGGCATATACAATGATGAAGCAGAAAGGATTATAATACACATCCTTACCATATACTAGGTTAGAATTCTGTTGCTTCAACTCCTGGACAATATCCACCACCATTGCAAGAAATGATGTGTCTCTTGTATAACCTTTGGGAAAAAAAGACACTTTTGAAGTCTATTCTCATGAACGCTTCTTTTTTTTTTTAAATTTTGGATAGGAATGCTGCACACTTCTCATTCTTTGGAACAATGCATTTTAAGAACAAAGGCATTTTAGTATTTCACTCAGGAATAACAGGTGGAAGACAAATTCAGACAGTGCTTGCACAACTACAAATATAACCTTAAAAATCCATTTACTAACTATGTTGGATATGAAGGGCTCAAACAACTTCCAAATGCTTGAACATATATACAAAAAGGTCAGGCTGAAAGGAAAACACATTCCTTTTCTTCAAAACAGCAGTCCAAATCAATACTATTTATCATGTAGTAAATAAGAAGTATTTTAAATTCCATATACTTTTCTCATACTCTGGTTTGAAGCAGGTTTTTTATTATTATTAATGTTGGTGCTGATACAGTCCAACACATTAATGCAATGGAGAATTAATCTTGAATATTTTAGAGCAATGGCCAATATACCAATAAAATTCCTATTTTTAGGCTTAGCAGTGAAATAAGCTGGAAATAAGTTTTATTATCTCTCAAGGCCCTAATCACAATGCTAGCACCACAATATTCTTATTAATTTCTTGATTTTATAGATGTTTCTTTATTTATATATTTATTTTATGTATTAACTTTATTTACAACATATATTAATTAATAATTTGATTTTCATTGATTTTAGTTCATTTAATAGCATTATTTTTAGCAAGGTAGCTTCTTCAAAACTTCAGCTTGGAAATATCCACTCTACTAAAATATTTAAAATTACATTTTGGAGATTTTTTTTTTTAAATCGCAAAAATCGATCAATTCTTAGATGTTGCAGAGAAATGGAAAAAGCTTCCAAGATTTTTGGCCAAAATGCTTTGTCTTATGTCTATGAAATGCTGATAATCAGCCAAAAAAGGCAAGCAAAGATTTTTGTTTAAAATAACCTGTGATGGTAGACTGGCTGAAAAAAAAATAGAGAGTATGATTAACATTATTGACAGAGGCGTTTCAAAAAAATTACACTGAATTGGAGTTTATCTCTTACCTTGAGTGTTTTACTGTAAATGAAACAAATATATGAAGATCTACAAGTAACTAACAGTCACAGAAATTAACGAAGTGTTGTTTTGTATAATCAGCCTGAAGATAATCATTTCCATCTCAGCCAAGATATCTACAGTCACCAGACATATAATTACAGTCAAATCCCACCTGCTAACAAATTAATTTGTTTTCAGTGTTTGAATAATCATATCCAGGTTGTTGGAGGTACAAGGTACAGTTGTGCACTATAGTGAACGGCTGTTCCTGTTTGAAGAGAAAAATCTGTCTTTTGGCCCTGAATGAAAAAAACTGAATTCAAGTTCAGCCACAGCACAACTGAACACTAAAACACTGAGAGTGTTATTAGATCTTAAGAAATTAGTGCTGTTTCTACCCATGCCTTCTTTTTGTCCATACTGAAAATGGCTACACCGAATGAGATTTTTAAACAAACATGAACAATACACTGACCCATCTACCCACAAACCCTATTTTAAAAGGCATATTAATAAATATTCCTTTTTTTTTCCCAAAATTTCTTTTTGCTGAAGATTTCTATTTTTCCTTCTACAATTTTTAATCTCTTACATCTGTTTTGCCAGTACAAGACAGTGATAGGAATGGAGTTGGGGTCTCTTCCAAGAGTTGAAAGTAAAATAAAATAGGAACATTTCAGCTAAAAGAATACTCAAACATTATTTACAAGTTTTCCATTGTAACATGTCCTGAAAACTCCTAAAATACAGTGTGCTTTTCCTGGAAATGTCCTCTGTGTGAGTTCTTTCAAGGAAAGAAAGGGTGTTTGTGTATTTCTCAATCACAAAGAACTCTTTTATGCTGAAATTAATTTCTTAACCTTAGTTCAGTCTATTTTCTGTTTAGTCTCCTTTACTGTGGAGATATTTCCTGAAAAAGAACTGACAACAACTCTTCAGACATGCCACACCCTTCAAGCCAGAATGACTGCTTTGGGGTTATAATCCATAAGCTTAAAGTTTCCAGTTTTGGAAGCCATGAAATCAAAGCTGGCAATATATTTCTGTTTACCTTTAAAAAGTGACTGTTCACTGCTATAAAAAAACTGATACTGTAATCTAAACCAGATGCATAGCTCTTACTGAGGTGAAACCCGATCAGTAATCTACATTTGAGAAGCAGGAATTGGATGAGAAGCAGTTTTTAATAAAAACTGCACATAGAATCTCTCCTTTCTACAAAGCATTCTGCAGAAAGTTATCTTTGCCTGTATTTATAAGCACTTTGCACAGGAAAACACTGCACAGTCACTATGTCCTGCAGAACTGTATCCACTCAGAGGACCTACACAGTAACAAGAGCAAAAAATCAAGAGATATGACAGAGTCAAAACCAAAATCCAACCCTGCTTATACTTTGCTCTGTATCCAAAGCACTACCCCTTAAAGATCAAGTAGAAAAAACAAGGACAGACAACTGTGTATAAAATGATGCTATAGTACCGCAGAGTGCCAGTACTGCAAATTTAGGAGAAAGGGTTAAACTGATGTCTCCATAATAAATTTAAAAATAATAGTCTGACATTCCTCATCCTTTTTTCAGTAGAGGCACTCCCAAAACATTAATTAAGCCTGTACATGACTGGCCTGTACAAGTCTGTAAGCTATACAAGGGGATCAATTTACCCACCCAATTGCAACCTTCAGGCTGGAGAACACTGGCTGTTTCAAACTAAACAGCATGAGCAGTTGAGACTGTAATATACAAATGAAATTGCAGGAGGAATCAAAGGAGGGAAAATGTAATTGCTTGGTTTGGAATAAGGAGGGATATGGTTTATTTTTCTTTACTTTTGTTTACATCTCATGGGAACTCGAAGGAACAAGCTCTTCTTACCTGTGAGTACATAATCATACCGGTTGACCTTGTTCAGCTTAAGTCCTTCATACAGTTCATGAAGTTCATCTGAATTTAACACCTGACCCTTCCAGTGGGCATAACCTGCAAAGTAAATGCCAGATCATTTTTCAAGAGCTAATTTTTCTATTTAGGATCACACAGATTATACACTTGGAGGGACCGTATCAGATATTAGCACCAGAAAGCATTTCCACCTCCTCTTCTGTAAAACGTTGTTGCCAAATGAAAGCTGCTGGCAGCAGAACATTTAACGTGCTCAACTTCTTCTCAGCACCTCTGTATCCCAAAGGAACTGAAGTGACTACAGTCACTGAGTTTGAGACTGTCCATTTATCAGCAAATCGAGCAGAGCACACACAAGCTCCTGCAAGTTTTCCCATGGAACCTATACAACTATCCCTTTCCTGTGTGGAGGGGGACAAACGTTTGTTTTAGACTTCACTGGAGGAGGGTGTTAGTATAATCTATTTTTGTTATTTTATACTATAAAAAAAAGAAAAATAAAAAGATTGACAGCTAGATGACGAGCTTAAACAGGCTTGTGGATCTGTCTAGACACAGGCATGCAGCACTGCCGCACCTATCAGATATGGTGTTCACTGGGACCTGCATGTAACGAATAGAGTGACCGCAGCAGAACATTGTCATGGATGCTGTTTAAACGTACAATGTCATCTGACAGATTTTCTTCCAAAAATAGCACAGTTTTAATGCTGAGGATCCTGGAAGAGGCCAATGAGTATCAGAAAGACACTATAAAGAGACAAATAATATCCATACACTCTTATCCTTGAATGATCTCTAAGAATTACAAGCCAATATTCTTGGCTGAGAAGCAGATGGAAGGTGAAGTTACTTGGGAGAAGCTGAACTGATTTCAGCAAACAATGGACCAAGCTTCATGGCAGCCAATTTCAAGGAAAAAAAAAACAATCTTCCTTGACAGACTCTAAACATTTTGTTGAAAAATTTAAATGCACCTTGCACCTTGTCATCAAAGCCTGCCCATCTAGATGGCAGCCATCACTCCCTTGTATGCAAGTATGGGGCTTCCTCCAGGATATTAGATGAAGCACCCACAATTTAACTCTTCCAACCTCCATAAATTCAGAGTTTGTTAAAAAGCTTATCTTTTTATTAACTGGGCTTAGGAAAAGTGAAATGTTGAATGAGGTATCTTCTTCCACACCACCCCCGTATGAAGACAATGGTATTTTGTTTATTTTCACTTCTGCTCTTGGGAGTTAGAAAATTCTGTGACAAAAACTGTTGGCTTTGATTATCACTCTAAACTGTGTTATTAGAGTAACTGCCAAAAAGTGCCTGGAGCCTAGGATAAGCACATTTTTCAGTTTTCCTTCTTATGAATGCAAATACACCCACAGTAGGGTGAGCAGATGGATCATTTTGTTCTCCTCAGCTCACAAAGGCCTAGCCTCTAAAACACGACTTGCTGCCAGCTGGCTGGGGGACTGACTCACACCAGCCACTACAATTCTCTCCCTAGCAAATGCTTTTTAAAAAGTCTCTGTGAAGAAACGGACAAAGTGAGGGATTCCCATATATGTTAGGGCTGTAGTTCCACTGCTGAACATAGTGATACTCAAAACGGCAATGCCTAACACCTAGACGCAGGTATATGAGGAACCCTTGACTACAACTAACTCAAGTATTTGGCTTATTTAACACATATGCAGATGTTCGTTCTGTCACATCTGCAGCTTCAGAGAGAAATAATCTGCCCTCTCCTCTTCTCTGAATCTCTACTTCTATTAGCACTGCAAAGCCAGTCCATACAGGGACACAACAGAGTCCTTTTTATTCCATTGTGCCCATCAATGAAACCGAGTGCAGTTTTCACCCAGAATCAAGGTCAGCTGGCAAAAGAGCAGTCATTCATCTTACACATGGCCACAAAAATAACTATGATAGACTGTCCAGACAATCTAGATACTCTCGGGAGCCATTCCTACAGAGGGACCCTGCACATTCACTATTTAACTAAAAGTTCACCTTCCTATGTCAAGCTGTCTTAAACAGTCAATGCACAGGGTCCATGTCACACTGATCCTCCACTGAGGGAGGAAAATAAATACGGAAACAAAATGTTGGCTAGCAGCCCAGCTTAGCTCAGGAATTGGTAAGTTACCCACATGGGGCAGGGACATTGTCCGAACTCTGTAGCAATGACTTCCAAGGGTATCTAGAGGATTCTTTTTACCATCTGGTAATACATGTAATACAACCTAAAGTCTAATCACAAGATAGCTGGAAGAAAAAAAAAAAGCTCTAGGGAAGCTCTCAGGGAAGCCCCAGCTATTCAGACAGAAGAAAAAGGGCAATGCCTTCGCTGGATCTGCAGAGAACTGTGATTTCACTAGGAGTTGAATTATGTTCAAGTAAGAAGAAACAAACAAAATCAAAACTGGCAGCAAGATGGAAACCACCCTAAGCCCTTTCCCCAGGGTGACTTCATGTAACATGATGAACAAGGGGCAAATCCCATGACCCTGCATTTAACCTGCTCTCCTGGTGGAATATACAACCAAAAAGCAGCTTCTGTAGAGGGACAGAAGAAAAAGCCAGTTACTCATGTTCAAAAAGGGTTTCTCTAACTGAAGGATGGATACCTTGGGGTCCCAGGAAGAGGGAGAGGGACTATCTTGAAAGGGGAAAGGCAAAAAACCCAGATAGATACTGTGTGGTCAAAAACCTACTGCATAGCCCTGAACCCAAAGCTAGTTAGCAGGGAACGCAAACAGCAAGCTTAAACATGTGAGGTCCAATTGGCTTTAGGGAAAAGCATGAGTGGTTAGAGTTAAGGATGATAACGAGGACTCGCTGTCTTCCTTAGCTAGACATAAGAACTCAGCTGACAACGAGCACATTTGAAGACCCAGAGCTGCCTTGCAAGACCTAAAAGAAAGTCAGCTTCCTAGAAATGTTATCCTTATGCCTACACCACTAAATATGAATATCTGAAAAAGAGCAAGAGAAAACTTAAAATCTTCTGTTTAACTGTCCACTTACTGTAACTCCTACTCTGCAGTAGTATTTCCACTGTGGCACTCAACACTATGTAAGTTCCAAGTCTCACAGTACCTGGCTATTTGCACACGTTATACAAGAACCACAGCCAAGAAAACTGAAGAATGAGTTTCAAGTTTGTACTTGGCAAAACAACTAAATCCCTTTGGAGACTACAGAGCTGGTTATGCATAGCAGCTGGATCAAATTATTACTCCTTTATCTTGGATGAGATACTTGGTGAGAACTTGGCTTGTATCTTCCACAGAGGAAGAAAGCTAAGTCTTCCTAGTTTTTGTTACAAAACCACCAAATAATTCCCCTCAGTACTGGACTGAGAGAGCAGAGAGAACGCTGCAAATCATGATATAGCTCTCCAAAACCGCACTTGGCTCAGACTGACTGCATTAGTCTCCCAGATCAGTAATAATTTTAAACACGTAGATGAACATAAACATTTAAACATCTTTATACCCCTTCTGCTTATCTGTGTTATGGCCTTTTATTACAATTAAATGTTATATATTTGCTTTTAAGCAGATAAGGGAATGAAAAACAGGTAAGATATGATGCCTCTTGTCACTTATCCCTCTAAAATGATAAACATATTCATTAGTCTCCAAGGAAGTGTCTTGGTTCATCTGTACGAAAAAGGAAAAAAAAACAAAACCACAACCAAGAGAGGCAGCTAATACTGCACCCAAGATGAATTTACATACTTTTCTTTCTTGCCTTCTTCCACTGGTACATTTTTTTTCTCCTTTGGAATGTATTTATAAGCCTCTTAATTACTTTCAAAAACAAGGAAAAAAGAAAAGATTAAAAATCTCAGGCATACCAGAAGAAAAAAACAAAACAAAACAAAACAAAAAGCAAGCTACCATTTAAGTATAGCAAGGCATGTAAGATTTCTTCGTTTTCCAACCCAGAACATTCTGTTCTGAGGTTTGAGTTCCTCCCGTGGTGCTCCCTGCAAAACTATTCCAAGTGGCTTCAGTAACCAAGTATTTTACATGGGAAAAAGGAAGAAAGGTCTAGTGTTTAAGGCACATGATGGGCAGGCAGTCTGGTCCCAGCTGTGCCACAAAATTCACATGCAAACTCTGGCAGACAACCTGGTCTAAACACGATTTCAGCTACCAGGAGGCCTTCAACAAAACCAGAAATACAGTAACAAATTCTCCACTGGATTTTTTACAGCCTGTCAGTGTGGGAGTAAAATACTACCAGTGTTAGGCACGAGTGGAGATCTTTTCTTTTTGTCCCACACTGCACAGGTGTGAATGACTGCATATGGGCGGTAGACTGGGAAGAATCACATGAACAAGACATAATTATAATTTCTCATGTATTAGACCTACCAGCCAACCCAACCACCCACTACACACCCACTAAGTGGAAGTCCAAAAGTGCTTTGCTTAAAAATAAAAAGAAGAGGAACAGGAAAAAAAACAGGCTATTTGTTCTGGAGCAGTTTCAAAGGTAGGATTTGGATGGCGAAGTAAGCACATTATATGCTTACCATTAACCTACAAATTAAAAATAAAAATGCAAATCACTGAAGAATTAAAAATGCACCCCAAAATATCAACGATACAATAAAAAAAAAAAATCTAGATTTTTATTTTTGCACATCAGCTGATGAGATCCTTGTGCAAACAATACAGTAAAATAGAATAAAAAGCACAGCATCTTTATAGGTTGCATGACAGCTTCTTTTATTTGTACATGAAGCATGATACCATTCAAGGGTGAGTCACTCTAATCATAGAAGTTCCTCACCAAGCAACATGACAAACTGTTCTCCCAGGGGGACTGATTTAAAGCACATTTTCCGAATTTCAGGATTATCAGAGACTAAAGAAAGCTGAATTTTCTGAGCAGGAGTCAGCAGAAATAGGCCCCTGGTTTCTTACTAATTTAAAGACAGGGCAAAAAAAAGGCAATAATGATTCACCAAAGAAAGCCTGTTAGTCATAAATTCTCTCTGCGCTTTATCTTTTGCTGACACGGCCAGTTTAAAGACAGGGATGGGGAAAGAACGAATGCCATATCTGAAACCTCACACACTTTACTACCTGTGCCCCCTCTGGTATGTCACATTCTTTTAGAAACTGGAGTTCACAGATTTTGAAGCAAAAATTTGCCCTTCAGCTTTAATGATCACAGAAAGGGTTCTCGTAAGATCTTGTTCTTGTAGGAAAATCAAGTTATCTTCGCCAGTTCCTCCAGCACGTGATTCCTGTGTGTTGTGGCACTGCTCCAGACACAAGCCACAGCAGTTTCTGTTCATTAATCCCTGCAGTGGCACAGACTGCACGTACGTTGATTTGCAGGTACTAGTGCAAGTTTGTGTGCAGGCATGTGTAAATGTTCAAACTTGGAAAAGTCTTCGTATGAGGACACCACATGTTCCTACACGCCTCTCTCAAAGAGGAGGTGCAAAGCCACTGGGCTTAGAATCTATCCTTCAATTTAAGAAAGGGTAGAAAGGATTTCATGGATAAACTGCAGCGTTAGAGAACTAGACCCGTCATAAAAGGGAATATGTGCCCTTCCTTTCTTTTCCATTCCTTCCTCTTTCAGCCAAATGACCAATACTTCTAAATACATTCTCCTTTTACTCACACTTGGCAAGGGCCAAACACTTACTGTACTGTGATTTTTTTCTGAAAGCTCTGCTTCCCAAAGTCATGAGGTTGCGCACCAATCTTTGGGATTTTTTTTTTTTTTTTTAAACATTTACTAAGACAATCAAGATGACAGAAAAAACTTGATAACATGACTCCTAAACATGAGGAGACAAAATAAAAGTTCCAAATATTTTAAAGACTTGTGATCTTTGAGACATTTTTGGTTCTGGGATGTTCATTTAGGCCTTCGTGGCGGGGGGGGGGGGGGGGCAAGGTGGGAATCACTAATTTGTTGTTCCTTCTACTATCTTCATTGTCTGCCAAACCTTTAATGAAGCACTAGTAACCTTTCTCCAGCTGTGATACTATTAAAAAAAAAAATAAATAAAATCTTCCCTCTTCTCCTCTTTTCTGTTTTAAGAATCTGGTCATCCTATTGGTAATGTAATTTTCCTACCTTCAGAAACATTCAGTTTATGGTCCAATAAAAACTCTATTAAGCTCTTTTAATGTCCTATAAAGCTGGTATCATCTTGAAACTGAAAGCCGACAAACGACAGGTGCTCATCCATTCTGAGTGCCGAGTTATTTCACGTGAAAAAATTCCTTCATTTCTGGAAGATTACAACAGTTTTACCCAGCTGTCAAAAACTAAACAACGGAAAATCCCAAACTCCAAAACTAAATACATTAAGAAACATAAGTCACATCTAAACATCTCTTGAAAACATGACAGAACCTTCGTACTGTGCCAAAGGGTACAAGCAGAATAAGCAGCTTTTTGCCTGAGCCAGCAAAGACCCCCACTCCATGTTTAATTATTACCTCTTTCGTGCCTTTCCTCAACAAGCAGAGATGGCTTTCTAGCTACCCTTGAAACATTAATTTCTTCTTCCCAGGGTGACACTAAATTCCTTCCATGATAGGAACATCTTACAGCCTTTTGAAAGCTGCATGGAGCTCAACATAGTAAGAGAGGACAGAGGCCTCCTGGTCTGCTCTCTGTTCCAAAAATTTAGCATTTTATTAATAGAGCTGTACCCGTGAGATACTAGGAAAGTATCTCAACTTTTGCCTTTTTTTTTTTTGTCAGAAACAATTTTTGCTCTTTTACAAGATGTTAAAGTCAGAATTTGTTCTTTGTTTATTTTTTAAGACACCCTTAGAAATTCTTTATCTAGAGCAGATCTCCCCTCAAGCAACCTGCCACCACCATGACAGTAGACGTGTCTCTTGATTCAAAAATAGCAAGTCACTTGGAGCTCCTTTATGGGTGAAAGGTATTGCTAAAATAAACATAAATTTCAGCTTTCTTTTGAAAAATAAAGTCCTCTAGCACTGTGAGCGTTAGGAAGTCTGAAAGGATGATGAGAGTGCATCATGGTTGCACTCATCATCTAAGCCATCATTTGGCTTAGAACCCAAATGTATTAGCACCCCACCCCCTTCCTCCCTCCAGAATGTAATTTTAGGGTAATTGCTAGCCTTCTGGGTGGGCACATAACGAGATGAAACACTGCATCTAGCTCAGTATTCTTCTGATGTTTGGGTTGGTAATATGATGATGAGTGTCATAGGGCCCTACTGCACAGAAAATAGTACTGAAGACTCTCCCATTCACAGGCCTGCCCATAGATGGCCGTTGTGGTTTAACCCGGCAGGCAGCTAAACACCACACAGCTGTTTGCTCACTCCCCTGCAGTGGGATGGGGAGAGAATCGGCAGGGGGGGAAGGTAAAACTTGTGGGCTGAGATAAAGACAGTTTAATAGGACACAAAAGAAAGGGAAAATAATAATATGATAAAAGAATATACAAAGCAAGTGATGCACAATGCAATTGCTCACCACCCGCTGACCGATACCCAGCCAGTTCCCGAGCAGCAGACCCCCAGCCAGCTTTTCCCCTAGTTTATATGCTGAGCATGACATCACATGGTGTGGAATATGGGGTCAGCTGTCCCAGCCGTGTCCCCTCCCAACTTCTTGTGCACGCCCAGCTTGCTTGCTGGTGGGGTGGTGCGAGAAGCAGAAAAGGCCTTGACTCTGTGTAAGCACTGCTCAGCAGTAACGAAAACATCCCTGTGTTATCAACATTATTCTCATCCTCAAACCAAAACACAGCACTATACCAGCTACTGGAAAGAAAATTAACTCTATACCAGCCGAAACCAGGACAGCCATATTTGTGTTATTTCACTGAGTTAGTTAGATTACTGCCTAACAAAAGAAACTCACACTCTGAAGTAGCAGAACAGGACATTACCATGTTATATCATGTCCTAATCCCAAATCCAGGCTTCTGTGAGACTTGAATCAAAACATGAAAATTACATTTCTGTCCTATATCCTGAAAATGTGAGTAAAAACATAAGACCGATCTCCCTTCCACTGTCATGTGATGAGGTGAGCCACATGTCGAGTAGAGCCGAGTGACTGTGGAGTGGTATCTGACGACACATGTAAAATTTTACCTGTGTGGTTTGAAAACTGGACAGAGTTCACCGTATCAACTTCAAATCCCAAAACCTGTAACAGAACACAGGAATATTTCTTTTACTAACACAGCTTTGTCAATATGTTGTCAATATCACAAAACACAAGACAGGATTCTTATTTCCCAGTGTTTATTTAAAAATCTTGAGCACTCTTTTAAAGTGAAAGCTGAGTCAACATACATGCAACATAAACAAACAATGCAGTACTTTACTACAGCAGTGGAAATGGAACAAAAGTGACACTGGCAACAGTACCAGAAAAACAGAGCTCTGGATCCTCAGGCTAGAGGTCATCTGGGGATAAGGATGGAGAGGCTGGTCCAGCAGCAATCACTGAAGCCCTGAAGAAAGCCTTGGCTAGTCTTTCTTGGCAAGAAAAGCAGTCTAAATTTCAAGGTACTAAATTAATGCAAAATATGGAGGGAGAATTCTGTTCGTATTCCAGAAAAGCAATCTTTCTAAAAGGAGGACAGAAGAATCTTAAAAGGGATCAACCTTATGAGCCATACTTCAATTTCAGAAGCAGTTTTTACAAATAAAAGAGAATAGAAAGAAATCACGGAGAATTAATTTGGGGCATGATTAGGCAATCAAAGGGCGAGAGCTCTTAAAAACCACAAAGTAAAAAAAGCCTAAAGCATGCTCCAAAAGCCATCTGCTACCTTGCATTACCAGCAATCCAAATATTAAAATATCCAAGAATTTGCTAGTGCAATCAACAAACACACTCTTGTTGCCCAAAAAGAGAGAAATATTATGAAAATAAGAGCATCGAATCAGGAGAAAACTAATGAGGATTTTTAACCTGACAATACCTGCTTAATACTGACAGGCATTGCTGCTCAAGCCATTTTTAGACACTTTTATCTGCCACGAAAGAAATTCTAATGCTACAGTGACATAACAGTCTGACATTTAATATTTGTTTCCACATCCTACTTGCTCTGAGTAAGAATTCTCCTCAAAAGACGAGCTGCTATATATGGCTCCGTGAATCATACTGGGAGATAATAGTAATGATGCATCGCTGTTCATGATCCACTTTCAGGCAATTTGCTGGGGAGGGGGGAGTGAACAAACGAAGCTTTTGCCAGTCACGTTTTTCACCAAGACGCACGCCTCTCCCTTTTCATCACGAAGGCAACCCATTCACATATAATAAAAACCTCTGGGTGTATGGTGCCAGACACGAGGTTTTCCCTGTGCATGTACTTTCTCTTGCACATGAAAGCCATTAAGCGATAAGCCCTTTATTTCAAACCCTGGGCTGTTACAAGATGGAGGTACGTGCTGCAACAGGTAGCTCCTTCTGCCTGCAGGCACTGCATTTTCGTCATTTTACAGCTCAGAGTCCACATAGGTCTTCGCAGAACAAGTCTCTTCTTTCAATATATAATAAAGGTTTCTGTTCATTCCTGACCAGAAAGCAAAGTAATCTTACGTTAATGACAGACAGAATGGTGGGTTGTCTCAGCCTGATCAAGTTAAAATTAACCTCAGCTCCTACTCTCACCCCAGTTTCTTGTCTCACCTTGGTGGATTTTATTTTAAAGACCCAGGAATGAAAGGGGCGAGATCATGGCAATACTGTTATGACCTTAACCTCGACGTTTGCACATGCTCTTCAAAGAAATAAATGAGAATACTGCTTCTAACGAGACTGTCATCCCATATTCAATTCCCCTCCCTGCAATGAACAGACCTAAGAAGTTCTAATTTCCTTCAAACATCTTGGCAACAATTGTGAATTAATCCACTTCTGTGCAATATTTAGATCACATCTCTCCAACTATTAAACACCTGACACTACAGAACACACTATGATTTACTAGCTAATCAGGTTTACACCTAGTGCTTCAGGGAAGAAGAACATGCACAACTGCTTGTAGGGAGGGCTGTTTTATAATACGGATAAGCACTGCACCAGCTGATGGTCACCAGAAAGAGCAGTCCTTCTTTATTGTCTCCACCAGCACTAGCTATCATTTGATTTCTCAACAAGCTTTTCTGTAGGATTAGGGATTTTTGGTTTGTTTTGGCCAGTTTATCTGCTTCAACCAGCAGAAGGGAAAATACAAGGGAGGCCACGTCTAACCTGACACCTAGCTGCCTCCGAGAGCTTAGCTGTACACTTGGTAAAAGAGAGTTAAAGAAAGTGCTTTTGAATAGTCAAGGAAAGTCACAGACAGCTCAAATTCAGCAGAGGAGCTTTCTCATCAGTGCAAAACAGGCTAAATAGCCTTTAAAGGTCTCCCTAACAATCATTTAATGGTGTTAGTCTACTCTGTCAGAGTTTCAAATTTGCCCTAAAGTTTTGTTTTGAATAAACGTATATGACTAATCTAACACACCTAATTACGCAGTTCTCTAGTTCTGATTCAACCCTCAAAATAAGCCACGGTTGCTCTACTTCAAGGAATTTCCTTTTACAAAGATTCTTATCAAAACAGAGAGAGTAATTAAAAGACAAAGTGTCATTTAAAAACCAAGGTACAATTAAAACCCCTAATTAGTACTACCTTTGGAATGAGAGCAACAGATGTTGAGGTCTAGGCCTTAGTATAAAGTATTAAAATAATCAAAAAGAATGTTGAAGTCATGTTAAGCCAGTACGTGTTTGCTACCAAGGCAAACCGCATTGAAAGTCTCATGGAATTTAATCATCAGAAGGTGACCTGAAAACAGGGTATACTGAAGTGCTAAAAGCAGCTTTTGACAGCAATCATCTCTTCTACGGCTACAAAGAAAACTGTGTCTTAATTTTGGTTTGCGTAGTTCATTTCAACAACCTGATCATTTAAAGTGGATAAGGAAATGTTAGCTTCCTCCTTCAACGAGCGATTAAAAAACAGTACTAGTAACTATCATCCTTGCATATCTCAAGGACCATACATATCAGAAAGTTTCCAATTCACTGAATGATGAATACTTTCCCTGCTTACAAAGGGAGCTGTGTTCAAAAGATGTCTTGTTACATCTTCTTTATATATACTCGTATTTGTAATTTCTTGTTCATTTCAACAACCTGATCATTTAAAGTGGATAAGGAAATGTTAGCTTCCTCCTTCAACGAGCGATTAAAAAACAGTACTAGTAACTATCATCCTTGCATCAATCAAGGACCATACATATCAGAAAGTTTCCAATTCACTGAATGATGAATACCCTGCTTACAAAGGGAGCTGTGTTCAAAAGATGTCTTGTTACATCTTCTTTATATATACTGTATTTGTAAATTTCTTGGGCAGAGCTAACTAAAAGCACTGATTTTGAGGGTTTTTTTAATTTAATTAAAAATTTCTACCCAAACCAGAGATTAAATAAATCTTAAGTGAGAGCTAACTAAAACCACTGATTTTGAGGGTTTTTTTAATTTAATTAAAAATTTCTACCCAAACCAGAGATTAAATAAATTTTAAGTGAAAGTTAACTACCTAATTAGAAATACATGATTTTTGTACGTACAGACCTAGAAAATTGAGATCAGAGCAAACGTATTGAATCAGATAAATCATACCAAAAAAAATTATATTTGCACACAAAAGTACTAAGTATCACCTGAAATTATGCATTTAGTTGGATATCAACAATTTTTCCAATGTCATAAACCAGTAAGAATCAACCTTTCCTTCAGAAAATGACTAGAAAGTACAAATTCAAAACAGGACTAAACTCAATTATTTATATTAAGTTTCTTGCTTGTTGATGTGAAACACATTTAAATAATTTATTTTAAGTCACGGATTTAAAATCACTCTGGTTACTGATGTTTTTTCTACATACAGAAACAAACCTCTCCATGTTTCTGAAGCAAGTACGTATATATATGCCAGTTAAATTGTCACCTCAACACCTTTCCTTATTTTGTGAGCAATCAAAATGCTGTGATTCATTAAAGACATTAGTTTTGTGGCGTTCAGTCAACAGAGAACAAATTCAAGCTGGTAATGGTTTATGATGGTTCACTGAAGTCCGCAGCTGTCTCTAGGCTTAGCTCAAAAAATACAGCAGAAGCCACAAGTAGCACTTTGCCAGGTCCACCGGTGGGACAAAGGCCTTTATTGAGATATTGACAGTTTCACCTTATACCCGTTGATGCACCACTTTCCCTTTGCTTCCTGAATTTCTTTGCATATCAGTCTGCTACATTAGCAAAATGACCCAACTTTGGGTGTTAAAACTGTCATTTTTCTGTGTGTGTATGCATGTATGTGTTCCTTGCACCTCTGTGTAAGTAAACTGAAGGAACTCACTCCACTTGGATTTTGCCTACGTCAGAACTAACGCCTTCAGATCCTATTTGATTAGTGTGAGGACTGACCTTACTAAGAAATGCACAATAATACTTAATTTATTGCTTCTCTATACCAGCTTGTAAAATAGTCTATACCTGTGTAACTTCCCCTGCTCCCTATAGAAAGGGTCCTGTGGTGACACTCCTGCCTCTGGTTTTGGAAATGCAGGTTATGGCAGATACTCTGCAAGTGTCCAGGGCTCCAGCTGCCAGGGACACGCATCATCTACGTTACCATTATCCCCTGTTTTGGATGATCTGATCTCTTACAGGCCCTCCAGTAGGGAACAATTCCTAGTTTCCACGCTCTCCCTCTGCTGTCATTCTGTATCATTTGCCCACAGAACTGCAAATCCTGGGCAAATCTAAACCCATAGCCAGTTTGGGTAAGGATGGTAAGCGCTCTTCAAAGGAAAACGGTAACTGAGTTCATCCTAAATCTCTCAGCCTCCAGTCTAAGCACATGTCAAACAACGTTCTTAAGACTCAAACTAAGGTTGCCTATATCACATCATATAGTGACATTTACTGTGATTGAAGGAAAATGGGCAATTCCAACATATTCTTTAAGTATCTTCAAGCAAAAGAGGCAGAACTGTTACATTTCTAAAAATAAATCACAAAACATCAAAACCAGAGGAGTTTTGTATTTGGAAGGCATGGCTGGCAGGTCTGAATGACACATTTCAGAAAAATATTTGGAAGATTAAATCAAAAGACACACACTGGAGCAGAAT